CTCTTTCTAAGTTCTTTGCAGTGTGATGAAATACTGTCAAAACTTAAACACATGATTTGGCCTCTTACACCTATGTTAGTTGTCTCATGTTGCATTAAAATGTCACATTTTCATGATTTACAAGTGAAATTAATTAACTTCTGGATTGGGATTCAACCTAATTGAAGCTGTTTTTTTGTTTAAATGTTGCCTACATTGTACTGTGTCTGTTACTGATTCACAATTCGTTGTGGTTAGTGTTATACCACCTCTTTTTGGTTGAATCAAACTCATTTTGGACTGATCTCATTGGCCTGTTTCTATTTTAAGAGAAGGATGGAAAGGATTTTTTTATTTCGAGGAGTCTTCTTTGCATTTATGGGTTGTTTGTATCATAACTTTTACTGTATTTGGCCGATGCAGCTGTTGTGATATCTTTGATTAATCCTCCTCTTCCTCTCACAGCCCGTCTCTGTTGGACCTAGTTGAGATCGAGAAGAAACTGAGGGAAGCCAGGAAAGAGAGAGAGAGGCTGCTCAGAGAGAGGGTGAGTCACCTGCCGTGAGAAACGCTCGCTGACACCTCTAATCACCCGCGACACACGGCATTAGACACGGCTGTCTGGTCCCTGACGCCCACTCAGCTCGCACATGAGGGTCCAAGAGGAAAAGCCAGCAGATGTCTGGATGTTTGTGATGCATGTTTACAGCATTGGAGAAGTCCAAGACTGAGGAATGTGTAGCCATATGATTGTGGGTTTATGTGGAGTATGAAAGTAGCAACTTTCAGTGGCACATATTGAATTAAAGTTTCTTTTTTTAATGCACGTGTCAAGAAGTCCATCGTAAATACTACTCTGTTAAAGAGTATCATCATTGTGTTATTTATTTTTGGGCTAAAAATTCAATTATACATGTGTGCACCCAGGAAGAACGACGGCTGTTGTTGTTGGAGGAGAGAGGACAGAAAGAGCTAAAGTCTCCGAAAACAGAGCCCACAGAACTTACAGAGCCAGAGAACCAAAAACGTCTCGAGCCGGAAATTAAGGAGCAGCCAGAGGCCATTTCAGAGGTATGTATGAAATGACAAGCATCAGGTCGTGTGAAACATATTATTAACATTTGTATTCTGAGCAATGATCTGTGAGAAATACAATTATCAAATCTATGCAGCAGATCCAAAGATAGTCTTGTTTAGTCTATGCATTGAATTGTTGATTTTTTGAGTAAATAAAACCCTAATATATATACATATATATCAAAAAGGGAAAACACTGGTCTGAAGATGTTAGAGGACAAAGAAAACACAGTGAAACACAAGACATGCAACAACAAATAATAATACAAAACTGAAATTCCATTGTAGTTTAATACAAATAAACACAGAAAAAACTATGAGTTTGAACTTTCAACCCTTAGCAAGAGTTAGACATCATAAATATTACATTTCTCAGATTTGTACACAGAACAGTATATTGCTTATATAACCATCATGAGTACAGGGTGTGGGACCAGGTCAATAAAAGCAGACACACATTTAAATACATGTACAAGAAAAGTGCAGCCCATTTTTTTCTTTCAGACCAAATGCACATGTGAGAAAACGTTTTTATTTCTGATGGCAGAAGGCCCTCCAGCAGCTCAGCCTGCCCCTCTTCCTCTCTCCGAACTTTGACCTCCGGGCCCATGTGGAGTCTCTGGGTCATGGAGTGAGTGGCAGCACGGACCTGCGCCTGACACCGCGACGCTGCGCCGGCTTCCTGACCAAACGAGGGGGGAGGGTGAAGACCTGGAAGAAGAGATGGTTCCTGTTTGACATGGACCACAGACGACTAGCCTACTATACAGGTTAGGCCGGCTGGGGCAGTGGAGAGTGTGCACATAATGACTGATTGTTTGAATAAATGCACTAGATGTCCAACATGCTGTCAAATAATATTTCATATATAACATCACTTTTCAGTCTTTATCCAACACTTATTATGCTGTACATTGTATTGTGTTTTCGCTCAAATTGTTTACTTTGAAAGAGAACAACTTGAAAGCATTTTTTAAAAATATAAGTTTGTTGTCACCCCATTTTCCCCACGTTTCTTCTGTTTTCTGCAGACTGTGATGAGAGGAAGCTAAAGGGAGTAATCTACTTCCAGGCCATAGAAGAAGTTTACCTTGACCATCTACGAACAGCCAATTCTGTGAGTAGTTATACACCGTCGCACCAGCTGACTCAGAAAGATCTGTTCAAGTTTGTGGCTTAGGGCTTGTGAAAAATCTCTGGTCTTTGATTCTGTAAAGAAAATGTGGCTCAGTCACGACTTGCAAAAAAACATATGAATACGACATCTGTAATTTCCCAGATTCAAATAAATGTTTCAAGCCCAACCATTATATCTAAAAACCTATGTATACAAGTAGGATATAGAATTATAAAAAGACACATTGAAGTGTTGGTTGACAGTATTACACATCTATTTATCATAATCTTCTTTCCTCATCTTCTCAAACAAAATAAAATCGCTATACTGTAGTTGAATATCTGCTATAGTAAGTTCTTAAAAAAAGTTTGTAGCTGCATTTAATTGAACAGACAAAGAATCCATTCAAACTGAAGCACCCGGTTGTTCTGCTTCTGGGAAAGGTTATGACGGACTTAGAACAGTTATTTAAAAGTTATTTATTTTTAGTGACTTGGGGTTTCACATGGAAAAATGCTAAATCTCTATGTTAAGGTACGCCTTGTAAAAAGTCAAAATACTTGTTCTTCACCCTGATTTATGACTAACCTGATTTCGATCTGTTTCTGTCTCTTCAGTCTCCACGGCCCAGCTTGACATTCTGCGTGAAGACGTATGACCGTCTTTTCTTTCTGGTGGCCTCCAATCCGGTATCCATGCGGATTTGGATGGATGTCATCGTCACAGCAACAGACGAGCACAGCCGTTATTGACCTCCTTCATACTTGACTATGAAACCCTTGAGTGATTATTGAGCGGACAATGCACTGAGTGTGTCTCCTGTTTGTTGAGATCCACCTCAGCAGCTGATTCTGTACCTGGACTCATGACTCTGTGGATAAAGCGTGACACGAGGAGGTGCACTGGCTCCAGATGTTGAACAGATGTGTATAAATGCAGTGGGGGAAACTGTTACTTGATGCTTGAGTGGCGGCTGAGGTTCAACGCTGAACCAGCTGCATGCCTTCAGCAGTTTAACACATCAGCCTGCAGCTGGGAGTCTGTTACTGCCAGGTTTCTCTTTGAACCTGAGCTCCCCCTGCTGGTCTGAGTGAAGCATTACAGCGCAGGTGTACACTTAAACTACAACAGGGTGTGAACACTATACTTGCAGCACCTGTCGATATAACGCAATCTAATATAACAATGCAACCATTGTATTAGACTGTGTGCTACGTCACTATTTCTGTCTAGTCTTGGATTATTTTATATGGTCAGGTGTTTCCTCAAATATGTCCATATGCTGTATATTTTTCAGAAATTACATTTTTATGAATTAAGTTATTTGGAAGTGTATATGGGTTTGATATGCAAACAAATGAAGGCATGCACTGTTATGAATGAACTATTAAATGTTTATTCATACAAATGTTGGTCTTTTTTTTCAATCAAAATCTGTATTTCCAACTTAATAATAACAATGGCACACAAATATATTCTGATCATGGAGTCTTTGATTAATATTTAGCTATTTTTGCAATGTGCTGTTTAGCCTCTTGCACACACAGTACTGTAGGTTGTAAATAGTTGCATAATGTCCAGTCGTCCCTATCTTTAGTTATGGTTATTGTCGTCTCAAGATATGCGTCTGTTTTATCAATATTTTCACAATTACTAGTCATTGGTCCTGTGTCGTGTGCCTTATATTTGTATATCCTTGTTATTGTTATTATACTGCTAGAGGAGTATTTGGTGTAGCACTTTACATACCATTTCACAAAACACTATTTATTTATTTACAAAAAATATGTGAGTGGGCTTACATCAAATCATGCACACACACTCCTACATCCCTGACACCTGCGTAACTTAACTGTTTTTTTTGTAAAGTATTTTAACTATTTCCATAATTTCCTTGCAGTGCAGTGTGCAAATAGCAACACGGTAATAAGCTGGTAGATAAATGTCTTTATTGACGCAGAACACAATTTCCTTCCTATAGAGAGTTGGTGCTTAAAAGGATCTTCACTATAGTTTTTACATGATCAAGATCAAACCATATACAATGTATTTGTGTATTTGGTTGTGATATATTTATTTATTTGCACCAGTCGTGGCACCTTTAGAGCGAATTTCCTGCTCTTTTGAGATGCTTACTGTAACAGATAAGAAGAGTCTATATAAGGCTTTGACCTCATGTCTCAGACGCTTAACCACTTCTGTCTTTCTTACAGCCAACTAAACTGACATCAGTGCTGTTTGAAAATCAGCGTACAGATTGTAACATTACGTTCTTGGTTTGATTCTAGAAGAATCCCAGCATAAATACTTGTATGTCAAACACCAAGTATCTGTGTTTTAAGAATCAAACTGATTCACTTCTCCTTCATCGTGTTCATCTCTGCGTAGCTCCTAAATATGGCTGCTCAGTAAAGTTCAGAAATAGTTTCTGCTTGTTCAAAAACATCACACACAACGCCCACTGGCAACTAGTTTGGTAAAGCCTTTATACTTCACTTTGTTTTCACTTATATTTACTTCAACTTGACTGTTTCATTTATGACACTTTATGACTTCTACTGTTTGTGCATGTAAAGTATCACATTGTTGTTTCTTCCCTCTTTCTGCATTGCCTTTCATTTTGTTTCTCTTCACTTCCTCTTTGTTTCAAAATGACAACATGATCTGATGAAACAGTTGAGTACTTGAGTGTGGAAACAAATGTCATATTTTATATTTTTCTGTTTATTGAATATGTAAATCAACAACTCACTTTTGAAAACACATTTATATTTCATTATAAAATCTGGTTTGGAACATTGTTATGTGAATCCCTTAGAAATGACTGATGGGACTTGCATTAATGTAGTAAAAAGAGATTCTAATCTCTATGGTGCTGAAGGCCACACCCCGAACACATCTTTCAAAAGCCATCAACACGCGACACCAGTCTGACATGACTCAGTTGTTGGACTATTACCACTGACCCTTCCATGCTGGTGAAACCTTTATTTGTTTCTTTATCAATTTCGGAAACATAGATCGGTACTGTATATACTACTACTACTACTAATGTATTTATTTCTTCTCTAGAAACAGAACATATTGTATGCTGACCATCATTGTTGGCTGTAAGGTAAGATAATTTATTTTTAAAACTCAAATTATTGCGAGTCTTAAAATGTCAAGCTTATTTTGATAGTTAACTGTCAACTTCATGTTGTTATATATGTATATATAGAAGTTCTTGCATTTGTTTTATTACTTTCTACAGTAAGGTTTTGCAAAACATATGCAAAACATTTTATGGATCCCCCTATAAAACATATATTCTTCTTTACTAGGGCTATTCATATTGTAGGAGGTAGCTAGTAAATCCAAATGAATAGATTTCATGTCTGTTGTGTGTGTCTGGTGCCTCTGTAGGAATATCAAGCTGACAGAAAAGCATGTTGGGTGCTTTAAAGGTTTTCCTCTTTCTACTACAAGGTAGGGTTTCCAACAATATAATGCCTTTCGATGTCTTTAGATTACTCACAAAAAGTGCTAAATATGCTTTTTTGTTTAAAGTTAAGGTTTTGTGGGTGTGTGTTGTTAATTTGGACGGGTTTGTTTTCTTTTAATTATGTTTACATTTCTGCTTAATTTTCTTTATTTTTTTTAAAGATGAGCTACAGTGTAGAAATGGCAATGAAAATCTTATGACCCGAGCTCCTCCAACGATGCAACATATATAATAAAATACAATATAAATCTATATACATGTAAATAGAATATGATATATACAAGTATAGAATATGAAATTAAATATTGTACATTAAGACAAAGTTAAATACGGTTTATTGCGGTGATAACTATTTAGATAAATAAGTAGATCGCAAGATGACAAACAGATGAATGTTTATCGAGGCACTTAACAGAGCTCAGGTGTTTAGCAGTCTTATGGCCTGTGGGATAAAACTGTCCCTGAGTCTGGTAGTTGTTTGAATACTTAATTTTTTTTTAACCTTGGCGGATATTTAATTTATTGCTCTTATTTCACCTTAGGTAGCTTATGCGACGTGAAGTGGGAAATCACCATGCCTCAGAGAATAGATGGACTAACTGGATCCTGTGTGAAGGTCCCCTGCACTTTCGCCGTTGACTCAACGTTTGATGGACTTCTGGATGGTTCCTGCAAAGCAATTTGGAAAAGAGGAAGCACAGGCGGAACAATTGTGTTTGATTCCAGTCTCACTGGAGATCAGGCAAGCGGAAACATTCTGCAAGGAAACCTCACAGGGAACCTGCTGAACAAGGAGTGCACCACCATCTTCTACAACATGCAACCGTCCCATTCTCACAAATACTACTTCAGGATTCAGTGTGATAACAACCTGAAGGGCAACTATCCAACAGGA